TGACGGCCACAAGGCAGACGGGGGCGTCCTCCACCCCACCCTGCTCCAGGCAGCGGCTCAGGGCCTCCTCGTCCAGGATCAGGCCCCCGTCCTCGTCCAGACGCACCAACTGCACCGGGCACCCCGGCTCAGCTCCCGGCTCCGGCTGCAGGGAGAGCAGGGTCAGCGCTGGGACCCCACCCATGGACCAGCCAGACCTCCGCCCTGGGAGCAGACCAGAGCCAGACTCCCTGCAGGGGAATGGTCCAGACTCCTGTTGGGATGCATGAGGACACAGCCCCAGGCTGGGGACGACACAGAGAAACAGAGGAATTCCCCCGTCCCTGGCGGAGAGCAAGGGCATGGCGGGATGGAGATGCTGAGCTGATTACTCCGGCCGTGGGGCTATGACCTTTGACCCCTGGGGGCGTTCACAGACGGAGGGGCAATCTCATGGCACCTGCGCAGGGAGGGAGAGAGACGTCTGGGGTGCAGGTTGGCACGACGTGGAGATGGCCGTGAACTCGCCAGGCCTGATCCTTGCACTGGGCGGGTGGCGAATCCCGTAGGAGAGGGAGCACCGGAGAGAGGGACGACAGAGGGCGGGAGAACAGAGCCACGGGGCAGCGGCAGCCGCGCCCGGCGTGCAGGAAGAAGGGAAAAGGCAAAGGGGCAGAGTCACGTTACCGACGGGCGCTAACGATGAGCCGGAGGGGGGAGGAATGACAAGGGGTGGCCTGGAGAAAACAGAAAGAGTTGGGGTCAAAATCCCGGTGGGGAAGGAAGTGCCCGGAGCTCCCCTGGCAGAGTGTCTGGGCTTGGCTACAGCCCCCGGCATCCACGCTGGACAGGGCTAGAAAGCGCTGAGTAGCCTCTCTCCCGCCTCTCTGGCCCCCCTGCAGGGAGCTGGAGGCTGCTCTCGGATCCCCCCTCGCTCTGCTCTGCTGCAGACTAAACACGCCCCAATCCCGCAGCCTCTCCTCGTAGGTCAAGTGCTCCAGCCCCCGAAACATTTCGGTCGCTCTCCACTGGACCCTCTCCAATGCGCCCACGTCCCTTCTGTAACTGGGGGCCCAGAACTGGACGCAACACTCCAGATGTGGCCTCCCCACAGCCGAATAAAGGGGAACGATGACATCTCTGGATCTGCTGGCCATGCTCCTAATGCCCCTAATACGCCATTAGCCCTCTTGGCTACCAGGGCGCCCTGCTGACTCCTCTCCAGCTTCTCCTCCACTGGAACCCCCAGGCCCTTTTCTGAATATAAATAGCTACAAACTGGCGAGCTACCAGATGAGACTTGACACTAAATGTAGGTCCTAACCATCTACGGTCTAGGACTTTGCTGTTTTTGTGTGTGTGTGTGTGTGTGTGTGTGTGTGTGTGTGTTGGGGGGGGGGAGGAC